AAGCAAACAATGTTGATGTCTAGATTTTGAAAAAATAACCATTGCTTTGAAAGATTTTTCAACAGTTGTAATGGTAAAGAAATTTATCCTCACCTATAACTCAAGTCCCTTGAAACTTTCCCGAAAGAGCCGGTTCTGCGTACTTCCAATGTTTATGGCTACTTTACACTACTGAAGAGGACAGCTGCTGGTCCTAATGCAAAAACAAAAAAAAAAGCTTTTTAACACTGCAGAAAAAGTACCCGACCGGTACCATATGATTCAACCGTTTTTATAAAATTTGGCATAAGACAAAACAGCGAAGATTATATTAATAATAACGTTATAAAAACAAACGAAAACAGTGATAAAGAAAATGTTGTCATCTGGGAAACAATTGATTTTTTGAAAACTTTTAACCGACCTGCACAATAGACGACTTCCCCGACCTTGGCTGACAGTTGAAAGAAAAAAACGTGATAACCCAATCCGTTTAATCTTACCGTGCACAAAACAAAAAGACTGAATAGAATCCCAGGAGTCAAAATAAGTGCGAGAACGGGCTACACAACAGAGTTAAACCAGCACATCGTGCCGCTTAAGGGGAAAACTTTAGCCAAATTGAAAGCATCTATAAGTACCAATATTCTATTGCAACATCTTCCTATCCATCCACTTTAGTTTTCTTTTACACATAGTTTTAAGTCTATCAGCTTCCTATGGCAACCACACTTCGTAAATTTTTTTAATGACCACTCGTCAAAAACGCGCTTCTTTCTTGAGCTTATAGATTTGAAAACAGCTTAGTTATCGCTATAAAACAGTTGTAAGTCACGTATCATTAGACAAAACAATCTATTAAAACCCATATCCTTTTACTAGCATTAAAAGGATTATTTCCTTATTAAAAAATTGAGTAATTCAGAAAAGGATAAAGCTTAGCTTCTTTTAACACAGTTTAAAAATAAAAGACACTCCCTTTACTACGTTGTAACTAGTGGTAATATGACTTAGTTTCCCAATATTTCAGTCACCTTCTTTGCACAGTCCTGCAACTCTGATACTGACACTATTGTAGCTGAGCGCCCTCACACCCAAACATGCATTTTACTGTCCACTTGCCTTAACTGTTAGCACAATGGGCTATCAAGTCCGATGATTCGTCTATGACAATTTCAGACTTATCTACTCACCATTCTTTAACTTACTGACTGCCTGATAATAAAATGTCATTTTGGGGTTTCAATACGCTACTTCCCCCGGTGGCTCTTGGTACAATGGAAAAAAGCTACGTCTTGCAGTAACACCATTCCTAGGCTGTCAGATTTTTGATCCCCTACCCTCCTAAAGTTTAAGTTCACAAACTTCTTGACCATTTCGCGATCTGCCCACTTGCCCAAAAATCACAGTATTTTACACAGTATTCTACATAATCACAGTATTTTAGCTGCCACAAAAAACTTGTTGATGTATGAAGGAAGAAAGTGTTTGCACAAAGTTTCCGAGTACTCATATTCGAATGTGTCAAAAAGTTCTTTAGGATTACTTTTTGTCAAGTATTTTTGTATAATTTTTCCTATAAGAAATGCACAAGAAAATATTGCAGAACTGTAAACGCAACTACAGTAGCAGAAATGCAAGAGAACAAGAAGTAGCCTTTAGGGAAAATAAGTCAGAGCCATACAGTAAGCTAAAAAGTGTAATTGTTATCCATTACACCAAAAACCAGCAGCACAACGATTTTATATTGCGCCACAAGAGTGCAAGAGTGTGAAGAAACTTCAATAGTAGGTCATTGGAAAATTAGAAAGAAGCGAAAAGGCTAAGCTGGAACTGTCAGAGGCAAGTCAAACAGGCTCGAAAAAAAAGTGGAGGGTTAAGAACAAAAAAAAAAAAAAACATTCAGGGGTAAGTAGGCTTAACTGCAATAGTG